CCAGGGTTGTATGCCGGGGAGTCGGTGTGCGTGCTCCATGGCCTTTGGAGGGTCAAGTGCAATGGCCACCTTGGCTCTTTATATATATGAACAGTATTGAGCAGCGATTCTATTGCAGATTGTGTTTTTCCATACAGCTTCATATCATCCATGTAAAGGAGGTGGGATAGTCTGGCAGATGTTTTTGATGTTTGATAGCCATGGCTTGAGTTTTTCAGTATTGTTGACAGAGGAAACAGTGCAATGACAAATAGTAGTGGTGATAGTAAATCTCATTGAAATATTCCTCTCTTGATATTCCTCTCCCTGTCTCTCACCATTGTCCTGAAATGTGTCTTCCATTGTATCATCAATTTCTAGGCACTTGATTATCCAGTCATGTGGCAGAGAGTCAAATGCTTTTTCTGTAATCACTCCATGCTACATTCAGGTTGATGTTCCTTCTCTTGCAGTTTCCAAAATCATCTTGTCAATTAGGAGTTGATCTTTTATTCCTCTGCTACAGGCTGAGACTGATGGTGCCTCCCCCAACCTCGATCCTACAAAGTTAGGAGATGAAAAACCAGACACACGTGTCAAAGCCTACGTAGACGATCAACACGTGTCACAAAAGGAACAATCACTAAACTCACAAGCTAATGAGATAGCTAATCTGCATCACTCGACCTGTCCCTTAGGATTGGAGAGCCTACTTTGATAAACCCAGACACACAAGGCAATCACAACAAAGTCCCAGCAACGTCAAACAATCCTAAGCCAGCAGGGACACAAATAGCCGCAAGTAGCAACCTCAGCATTGAAGCAAAAGAATTTCAGCCAATGGCTCAAGCCAACTTGAACAGGAACGAACAGAGCTATAAATGCAATCAACCTGCAGAGCAACAACGAAAACAACCTTTGGCTACACTGTGGCAAAATAAAGCTACACAGAACCTTTCGGAAGAAAAACACCAGCCGCCCTCGGCCACCATGCCCACTCCTATGGACCGCACATATTCGAACCAACAGGAGGCCATTGGACCTGATCCTCCCAAGGCTGTCGGGCACACCGCACCGACTCCCCCGGCATACAACCCTGGGGCAGATTGGCAACCTTACCAGAGGAAGATGAACTTGGCATATAGAGAGGTAAAGAAGTTCTGTGACAAACCAGGCCGAGAATATCAGTTATGGAGGGAGATATTCCAATGTGCTATCCGGGCCGAGTAGATAGAGCCTAAGAACGAGATTGTGCATATGAAAGCTTGGCTAGCCAAATAGTTACAAGAATCTACCATGTTCATCTAAATGATCTGGTCAAGGCCTGCAAACAAGCTTGGAAAGAACTCGATTGACGGTACGGCTCGTCCACGCTCATGGAATCATCACTCTTAAAACAAGTCCTCGAGTATCCCAATATACGTCCAAATGATCCTGAAAAGTTATGGGAGTTTTCTCACCTTCTAGAGGAACTGTGAGCTGCTAAAGAGGATTCCGACACCATGGATTTGGCATGTCTTGATGAGTACAGAACACAGAACATCATCCTAAGAAAACTGTCAAGATGGTTCAATGATCGATGGACCGATCTGCTTGACGCTTACAGGAACAACAACTAAGACAAGGATCCTCCCTTCACTACACTCCAAGAGTTGTTGCTGGCCAGGTAAAACGATGCAACAATCATCGGAATGAAGGTTGCTGGGATAACGACTCTCCAGTTACAAAAGGGGCTGCCCATAATGCTGCTGCGATCAAGAGCCCAATGCAGACCACAAGGGAAAGAAACTTTGTTTCTGTACACAAGACACAAATCTCCAACTCCACCAGGAACAATTCAGATGTGCGACCACCAACCACAAACAAGGACCCATTCTGTCCATTCCATGAGTCTTCCCACTCTTTGAACAGGTGTAGGGAGTTTGGAAAGAAGCCCCTAGAGGAAAGGAAAGCTCTAATTAAGGAGTACAGAATTTGCTATAAGTGTTGTGCCTCTACAGACCACATAGCCAATACATGCTCAGCCAAGGTGCGATGTCACCTCTGCAAGAGTGTCAACAACCCAAGCGCCCTACATCCAAATTCTGAGATAACACATTGCCCAACGGCTCACCCCCCCTTCCACACAAGGAGGCTCCACACGATGCCAAAACTACCACAGATATAAGCGTCAGATGTACCTCAGTATTTGGTGGTTCTTCAACACCTCGCACATGCCACAAAATCTGCCTAGCCAAAGTCTACCTCACCACTCACCCAGAAAAAGTTGTGAAGATGTACGTAATCGTAGATGGGCAAAGCACCAGATTGTTAGCGAGGTCAGCATTCTTCGATCTCTTCGATGTCCAAAGCAAAGAGATGGAATTTACTATTTCAGGGTGCACTGGAACGCAGCACATGGTGGGGAGAGAAGTCAACAGATTCTGCATAGAAGCGTTAGATGGGAGTGCACAGTTCCCATTGCCGTCATTACTAGAATGGGATGGTCTACCAGATGATCACAGTCAGATTGCGACATCAGAGTTAGCAAACAACATACCTCAGCTGAGACACATAGCTAATCACTTTCCTGCCCTAGACCCTGAAGCCAATATCCTGCTCTTGTTGGGAATGGATGCCCCTGAC